TTAATAAATAAAAATGGGGCATCTAATTTAAATAAAACGTGTCTAATATAATCATTTTTGAAATAATAATAATAATAATAATAATAATAATATAATATGTAATAAGATTAATTGATTTATTTTTAATCCTATATTATTCTTGCTCCAAACATTATTAATACACACTGTATAATAATTAAAAAAATGGACCGCCTGTTTCAAATAAGAAGAATCCACTCTAATAACGTTTTAAGTAGTAATACATACATACATATATATACATATATATAAGTTTTTGGTTGGTTTCTTTTCTTTTACTTACCCCAAATGATGTCTTTTGTCTTGTGGTGGTTGTTGTCGAGAGTGATGATGGTGCCGGTGTTGTTACAACACTTGGATAAATTTGTTGTTTTTGTTGTAGTCGCAGCAATCACTGTCGCAATGTCTGTTGCAGATATGTTTATTAGCGGCCTTCCGGGAATATTCGCGACTAACTCAATTTTAACGATTGGGTGTTGCACACCCAACCCCACAAAAGGCACCAGTTGTTAGTTAAAAAAAAAATAAAAAATAAAATAAAATAAAATAAAAAATTCTCAGAAGTAATAATAAAAAACAAATTTGTCCCTTATTTTTGCTTCAGTGATTGCTGTTTCCTTTGCCAGCTGTGTTTTCCTTTGATGATATATGAAAGGATGATTTTTACTTACGCGCGGTTGGAGTTTCCGGAGTTAATGTTTTGTTAATATATATGTTTTGATAAAGTGAAATGCAATATAGTTTAGTTATGTATAATGTGAACAACGTATAATCAAGTTTTTTTAATTTAATGTAAGTGAAATAATTTTTTTAATTTTTTTTTTTACTAATTTTGGATTAAGAATCTATAAGCGTCTGTACGTGTTATTTCTGTTTCCCGAATAATATGTATATTAAGTCGTTAAAATTATTTCCTTTATAAAATTGTGAATGAATTCTCGAAAATTGGATTCAGGATGATTTTGTTTTGCAGGTGAGTTATTGCATTGAAAAAAAAAACAAAAACAAAAAACAAGAACTATAATGTGTACTTTTTGTGCAAACAAACACGCAAATAATGCTGAAAAAAGGTTAGAAATTATGATTTTGTTGTATATATTTGTTCTATAGTAAAAATGGCGAGAATCTATGTATGCATATTTCTTACTTGTTTATTAGTTATTTTCGTTTGAACGGAAATATATACGTTTGTTTTTGTTTTTAAAACTGTATAATTTGATTTTGCTAAAACCTTATAAATTCAAACAAAACAGAAATCCTTAATTAATGTGTGTATATTTGAAAGATTATTAATATTTTTTTTTATATAATAAAGGAGAAATTTCTGTTTTATTTTATTTGTTTATTTATTGTACAGGTGTGATGTTATAATCTTTTTTTTCGTACTTCGAGTTACGTAAAGAAATATTAGTATGCATATATAGACGAGTGTGTCAATTATTTTTTAAGTGTGTTTATGATTGTATAAATGGAATGTGTAAATACACAACCACTTGGTATCGAAATCCTTTTCTTTATCGTGGTAATATTGAATGATCCAATGCGATTCACATAATTTTACGTAATTATGCGATTTTTAATTGCCCCCATTAGAATATGTTTTTGCACTTTTGAATTTGAATAAATATTATATGGACTATTCAAATAAATTATAAGCGCGTATGGCGTCCTCAAATATTTATTCGAATAAATACGTTTATATTGATTTAATCAGCAGTGTAAGTTTTATTGCTTATTCAATTAAGAAATATTTATACAAACATTTGTAAGATACAGACTTAATTTTATCTGTTTATATTTTGTTATTCAATAAGTGGATATTATAAAAATGAACGGTTGTCAATCGTACTTTCCTGAATTTCTTCGCTAGTCTGTTTCCAAAAATCGTGTATGTCCAGGGTTATTTTTCCTGCTTTTCGTATGTCACAATGAAGTATATAAATAAAAAAGAAATATATATATATATATATATATATGTATGTATATTTAAATATATATATATTTTCGCATGGCTCCCCAAAATTCTGCTTATTTTTTTTTCATGTTTTGTATCCTTCAAAATGTTAAACTACACTCTTTTCTTTTATATATTTTCTTTTAGCAGGTTGTGTTTGGCTGTTAAAGAAAGGATAACACCGTCACAAATAAACGAAGTCCCGATTGCTTTGGGTGTGAGGTTGTGTGTGGGGTCGATTTCATTCGTTTCCTCCAACTACTTCGATTCTAATCTCGTCTTTTCTCGTTTTGTTACGTTCTTTTCAATTCCGTCCAGAGCAATCCAAGGTCTTTTCTTTCTTTTCTTTTTTTCTTTTTCTTTTCTTTTTTTTCTTTTCTTTTTTTTTTTTAATAATAACAAAAACTGCGAAACAGCCTGCAGAGGTAGACGTCTCCAAGTTTGACTGTTCGTCCTCTTGCTAAAAGGAATAATGCAACTATGCAATCGAGAATAGATTCAACACCATTTTCAAGATATCAGAGTCTCATGTCAGCACCAACAGCACTATCGACCTCATCAAAAATTTCCCCGTCTTTTCGACCTCCCGCCATCTCTTTGCCCTGTATTTTTTTATATCATTATTTTTCTCCTCCTCCTCCTTTGTTTTTCCGTCTCTTTCCTAACGTTATATAGTTCGTACTATTATCATTGCCACTAAGGAGATATATAAAAAAAATCATCAGCCTATGAGAAATGGTTCCCGAACCAATACATAAACTGCGTACGATACAAGCCAAGCCCACATAGGAGTGGCTCTCTCTTTCTCTCTTTCTCTTTCTCTTTCTCTTTCTTTCTCACCCTCTCTCTTACATGATCATCCCTAGTGGGCAACCCTTCCCACTTATTCTATTCCGACACTCTCATCTCCCTCTCTCACTTGACTTGTGATCACCACACCCTAATATCTCTCCTATTCTCCCTCCACTCCATAACACGTTACTCCTTCGCTGACACGCGAACACGTGACCTCCCACCTATTTCCAACCTCCTCTTCTTTATATCCTCACTCCCCAATCTTTTATCTTCCTGTGTTACTCCTCCCCATCCTACGCCTAATTCTACTACTCTCCCTCACCTACACATTGTCTTTGTATTCTTTCTTTCTTATGGATTGCCCTTACCTCTCAATCTTAACGTATCTAATCGCCACCCTTTTCTTTCATTCTCACACGGGTTTTCTAATCCTTTACCCCCACCTCTTCCGTCACCTTCCTTCTCATTTTAACTAACGCTAACAATCATTTTAACACTTACACGCTATCTCCTCGCCTTTTTTTGCATTTTCTTTTCGTTGACAAAGAAGTTATATATTTTCTTACTTTTAAGCAAACGTCCATCATATGCAACACCTCCTTCCCGCCTTTTTCTCTTCTAAACCTGTGCGATTTTTCTGTCTATCATTCTTTCCAATTATTCACATCTTTCTTTCGTTCATTTTCTTGTTAGTCTCTCCTCTTTTTTTTAATTTTCTTTTTTATTTAGTATAGCATTTATTTCTTTATTAATTTCCGTTTTAATTACTTTTATTTTAGTCTTGTTTGTCTTTTGTTTTTCATCCCGTACGGTTCTATGAATTTATTTTGCGTTTTCTTTCTTTCTTTCTTTCTTTCTTTCTTTCTTTCTTTCTTTCTTTCTTTTCTTTCTCGCGTTTTTTTTCATGCATTTTCCCTATCTTTCTTCTTATATTCATTCTGCTTTCCTTCTCTTTATCTTTCGTTTGTATTTCGTTTTCGTCCTTATTTTCCACCATTCACAATTATAATTATTTCATTACAACTTGATCCCTTGTTCTCCACGCACAAATAAGCAATAAATATATTAAGAAATAAAGAAGCAATTAGTATCGCCCAGAATAATGTGGCAGTCATTTAAGCACTGGTATAATTTTGTGCACGCAAAATAAACAAAAGGGAAAGACAAGGCCGCGAAATAATTATATTTCAATATTAGTCACATGTCTGTCAAAAGCCACAAACCACCACCGCAACCACTACTACTACTATACTGATGATGATGATGATGATGATTCTAGACTTTGTCAGAGAGTTGAAAAAAAGGCGAATCATGAAGGTGAAAGTCGTTATCGGAGCGCTGGAAATTGTCTGGAAGAGCGTATGAGAAAATTCAGGAGGAATTTGAAATTAGATGAAGAGCTGGAACGATGCAGGCGATGGCAAAATTAAAAACAGCTAAGGTACCAAGAAAGTGCAGGGTTATCGTGGAGACTTGCTGTCACGTAACCTCCAGCGTAGTCAACCTGCTTGCTACTGGTGTGAAACCCACAATGAGTGAATAATAATAATATAATTAATATTAATAACAATAATAATTCTCATGAGTACAGCCCACACCTTACGAAGGGCTTTATCTATGTAAAATATGTGTTGTTGTACTTTTTATTTTTTTTTTTTAATTGGTCAGTGGAAAATGTCATGATGCCATTTCTAACCTTAGGTCTTTGGGTGGGACCCGGGGAGAAATGTATACACATCAGAAATTAAAGGAAATAAAAGAATAACAATAATAGATATGGCAGTGACACCAGATAAAAGAATGTCTGTTAAAGAAAATGGGAAAATAAGTAAAGGATCTGGAAACTGAAAAAATGTAGCCTCTTAAAACTATTATTAGTATTACCTGTTATAATTGGAACCTTGGGTATGATAAAAAAAAAGAGGTAACATATGAGTATATTAACAATTGTCTGTGATGCTGTCTATAAGAGATTCTAAAAAATGCAGTGTGTTGAACTGTTCATCTTAGGCGAGTATCATAAACGTAAACCTAATATAAACGTGATTATTACAGATTAAGAGGAATTCTGCATCAGAATTTGTGACAACAGAATGCATAAATTTAGTGCATTGTTTTCGCCTAGGTTTGGGCTTATGACTTATTAAGTTATTACGTGGAACAGAAAGCAAAGGAAGATAATAATAATAATAATAATAATAATAATAATAATAGACTGTACCAATAGTAATCGGAGCTCTGGGCCTCGTGAGAAAAGAAATGAACAATTTTACTAGCACTAACAGTGTCTCAGGTAACATCAACATACAAGTTGCCCAGAAAATCGCCCTACTAGGAACATCCCATATTCTAAGAAAAGTGCTATCAATTAAACGACAATTCTCCTATAGACCCTAAGGACCACAGTCTGGACCCGGGCCTACAGGATACAAAGCAGGAAACATAACACACAAATAATAATAATAATAATAATAATATGACAGAGTGGGCCAATATCTGCACTGGAAAATCTGCAACTTCTACGGGAAGGAAACTGAAAGAAAATGGTATGAACACCACCCAGACCCGGTTACGGAGATAGGACTTGTTACAATTCTATGGGACTACACAATATACACCGACAGAACAATCAAAGCCAACCGCCCAGATAGTGTTATTAAAGATCACAAACAAAAACGGTGCTTCCTTATTGATATGGCAGTCCCTACTGACTGCAATGTATCTTTGAAGATATTCAAAAAGCTGTCAAAATACAAGGACCTTGAAATAGAAATCTCGAAAATGTGGCATATGCGAACATCAACAATCCCTGTTGTAGTTGGAGCCCTAGGACAGGTTGGAAAAGATTGCAGTAGACTAATTGAAAGGATTCCTGGAAGTCCATGCCTCAAGGAGATACAAAAAATTGTTCTGACAAGTACGGCCCACACTTTACGAAGGGCTTTATCTACGCAATTATTTTTTTGTCAGTGGAAAGTGTCATGATGCCATTTCTAACCTTAGGTCCCTGGGCAGGACCCGGAAAGAAATGTGTAAACGCCAGAAATCAAAGAAAATAAAAATAATAATAATAATAGACTGTACCAATAGTAATCGGAGCTCTGAGCCTCGTGAGAAAAGAAATGAACAATTTTACTAACACTAACAGTGTCTCAGGTAACATCAACATACAAGTTGCCCAGAAGATCGCCATCAATTAAAAGATAAAGATTAATAATAATAATAATAATAATAATAATAATAATATCAAAATACAAGGATCTTAAAGTCGAAATCTCAGATATGTGGTACATGAAGATATCAATAAAAGACAAGAAATTCAGGAAGTGTATGCTTAATTAACATAGCAGTACCATCTGAGGGAAACACCCCCATAAAATTATCGAGAAATTGTTCAAATACAAAGTTCTGGAGATCGAGATTAACAGGATGTGGGGAATGAAGGCTGGGCTCTGGGCCTCGTGAGAAAAGGAATGGACAATTTTACTAAAAGTGTCCCAGGTAACATCAACATACAAGTTACTCGGAAGATCGCTCTACTAGGAACATCCCATATACTAAGAAAAATGGTATCAAGTAGATGGCAGTTCTCCTATAGACCCTAAGGACCACAGTCTGGACCCGGGCCTACAGGATACAAAGCAGGAAACATAACACACAAACAACAACAGTAATAATAATTGTTGTTTTCACGTGTACAGCTCACACCTTGTAAAGGACTTTATCGATGTAAAATATGTTTTCTTAGGCTGTTCTATTTTTTGCAAAAATATTCAGTGGAAAATGTCATGAGGCCATTTGTAACCTTAGGTCTCTGATTAGGACCCGGAAAGAAATGTGTACACACAAGAAATCAAAGGAAATAAAATAATAATAATAATTATAATAATAATTATAATAATAATAATAATAATAAATACTTACACTGGACAATGTGCAAACACTTTGGAAAATGTAAGCAAACACTGGTATGAACATCGGCCAGCGCCGGTTACAGAAATAGAAGATAATACCATTCTATGGGATTATACCATCCACACAGACAGAAAAATTGAAGCAAATAGGCCGGACATTATTGTCAAAAACCAGAAAAAAAAACTTGCCTACTAATTGATATGACATTTGTCCAGCGGATTGTAACATAGCAACCAAGGAATTTGAAAAACTATCAAAATACAAAGACCTGGAAATTGAAATAGAAAAAATGTGGAAATTGAAAAACAAGAATAATACCAGTGGTAATAGGTGCACTTGGAATTATAAAAAATGGAACAAAACAACACATTGAAAGAATCCCTGGAAACCCCAGCTTAAAGACATACAGAAAATTGTCTTATTAAACACAGCACACACACTAAGGAGAACTTTGTCTATGTAACGCTAACAACTTCATCGGAGATAAAAAAAAAAAAAAAAAAAAAAAAAATTAACATGAAATGTGGCCATAACAACACACCACGACCTGCCTTAGGTCTTTCCGCAGACTTGGTAGGTAGTGTGTCCATAGCAGAAATCGAATGATGATGATGATGACAATAATAATAATAATAATAAAAGCTATCAAAATACAAGGACCTTGAAAATCGAAATCTCAAAATTATGGCACATGAGAACATCAACAATCCCTGTTGTAGTTTGAGACCTCGGATTGATTGGACCTTACGAAGGGCTTTATCTATGTAAAATATGTTTTTTTTTTAAATTGCTCAGTGGAAAATGTCATGATGCCATTCCTGACTTTAGGTCTCTAGGCGGGACCCAAAAAAAATGAATACACATCAGAAATCAAAACAAATAAAACACTATATATATATATATATATATATATATATATATATATATAAAAATAATAATAATAATACCTTCCACTCACTCCACATACATTAAATCGCGCTCTTCTGAAAGTGTTGTAAACAACAACAACAACAACAACAACAATAATAATAATAATAATAATAATAATAATAATAATAATAATAATAATAATAACCCAAGGTCGAATGAATGATTAAAAATTGTGTTTGAGTTACATTCAAGCTTAAAAAACACCTTTCTAAGTAAAGGCTTTGTTTATCTTTGATGTCATGGGAAAAACTTGTAAAAAATTTGATCAAAAAGATAAATAAATAAAAGTAAATAAATAATTTATATGAAGATGCAAAGTAGATTTATTTTCATGACAGTAGAAAACTAAATGACTTTTGACTCGACTGAGTCGATCATTGCATCCACAAATATTACCATTTGAATTTAAAGTGATTGCAGTAGTTTCTTTTAATGAAAAGTTAACAAGAATGTCCTTTCTGTAAATGGCAGGCGCATTTGTTCGTCACGTGGTTGCAAAATAGCAAAACAGAATTAGCAGCCGATGGTTTCTTAAAAATAATAATAATAATAATAATAATAATAATAATAATAATAATAATAAAGATTGAATTTTCCTTAACCCCAAATTTAAAGATTCAATATTGA